AGTAATTGGTATCGTACAGATGATTGTAAACCATAGCAGACCGTGCAAGATGTGTTTAAGTTTAAGATAGATTTATTATGAGCACAGGCTATGAACAGTCAGTACAGAAATGAATGATATCTAGTAATTGGTATCGTACGAATGATTGTAGACCATAGCAGATCGTGCAAGACGAATGTATTTAAGATAGTTTCACTGTCAGCATAGACTATGAGCAATCGGTGCAGAAACGAATGATATCGAGTACAGAAATCACACAAACGATTGTCTATCATAGTGGACCATACGTGATGAGAATTACAAATTAAAATATAGTTGTCTGTGATTGTATATAAAAATGTATAAATAACAGGTCATGTAACTAAATTAATATAGAGATTTATTATTGTATAAATGTTAAAGATGTTTACTTTAGAATATTTTTTTTTTCTTGAAGTGAGAGGACTCACTTGTTGAAGGATGGCCGAATTGTAAAGCTAACAGTATTATTCACTCAATACCCAACTGTTGTTGTTTGTAAAGTGGCAGGTATCTGTCAGTTGTCATAACCATGTAAACAGTCCTAAATTCTTGTAATGGTAACATTAACAGATACCCGCCACTATAAAGTAATAATTGACAAATCGAATGTTAAGGTAGATGAATGAATGAAGAGTTACCCTCAACTGGTTTTAGTTGGAAAATATGATTATGAACGACACTTGAATTTGAACCGTTGAACGGAACGTTCATATTTTTATTTGTGAAAATTATATCGAAGAATATCAAAATAATCATCGTTTTATTTCTGAGTTGAGATTGAGTTCTTACAATTGGAAGTACCAAACTTATTGTAATTTATGATTTTGTGGCGTAGTATGGCGTAGTATTGCTACGAATCCAGCGTAGCACTGCTACGAATTCGATGTAGCATTGCTACGAATCCGGCGTAACGACATCAAATAGCTAACGTCTCTTGGAAACGCAACCCTACATTTATAAAAATTTTGCTCGTATTCTTGTTTGTCTAGTCTTGTTCTTTGAGAACTGATAGTTTCCTAGATGAAAAAGAGTGTTTAATGAGAATTTAATATTTAATTATTCATTTTGTTTGAAGGTGCACAGCTGTTTAATAACTTATCCGACTAGATAAAAGATTGTAAACACACCCAACTTGAAGCTTAAAAGTTATGTTTACAAAATATAGGTACCTATGTATTGATATATTGAAAGGCGTTAATAGCATAGCAACAACAATGTTACATTTAAATTGTATATAGGTACTTCACCAATGCTCTAGAGTATATGTATTTACATGTATCACGCCTGTCTCCCGTGGGGGTAGGCAGAGACTATGGAACGCCAACTATGGTTATGTATTTACTTATAAGAAAGTTACTGTATAAGTGAACTTTTGTACTGTTATTTCAAGAAACAAATTCTGTAAACCTAAACCTTAGTGCCAATGTTACTTTTTCCGAATTGTATTTAAAGTTTGTTGGGTTAACGGAAAAAGACCTTGTGGTCGCCCACCTACCTGGTGGTTGGATGCTGTAAAAACCTCCCCGGCCTGACAGTTCCGCAAGCCATAAAGACCGCAGAGGACAGGGGCGTTTGGAAGAGGGTTGTGCATCAAGTGACGCGTGCACCACGACCTTCAGTAATGAATAAAACGACTAGGAAGAAGAAGATTTAAAGTTTAAACTTACTATCAAGTGACTGCACCAATAATTTAAATTTAATTAATTATTTAATCTGAATTAATTAATTAATCTGTTTTTACTCGGCACCAAAGTAGGATTGTATCGTCATAATTGTCAAAATACGGTGTGAGAAAAAAATATTTAAACAGTCGGGTAAACTAAAAATTCACTTGGATGGTTAAAGAATAACAATCAAATAAAGCCGAGACGGGTCCTTACTAGTGTAGGCAGATATGTAAAGGATAATATTGATGATCTCTATTTCAAAGTGTTTTTTAATTACTAACTGGCATTATGTGTACCTACTTATACTTAGGTACATATCTATTGTGTTAATATTGATAGTCAAAATATTTATTTCAATCAGGCCTTTATCTTTACAAGTCATTACCTATTGGCCTAAAATAATGTTCAAATAGGAATACAATGGCCATATACATAATATAATTGAGTCCTAATATTATTTACTGTTGATTATATTTTGCAGCTATCATTTATCAGAACGTCATATAGAAGAGCTGATTACTAAATAAATAGCCAGACAAAGGAGTTCAATGACATTATGTCCCTTTTATCAATTGATATTTTTTGATTATCTCGTTTATTGGATGGTGGCTACCTTCTTTATACCTCTATGTTCTGTGGTGGCTAATACCGACGATTGTCAAACAAGGGTTTGTCTTTCCCAGGTCGTACAAAAAAATGTTAGGGTTATTTTGGTTTGTCAATCGCAATAGGGTAGATGACTAATTTTTATTTTAATATCTGTCTTTTTTTTAAGGGGGGAAAATCATCGAATTTCTGCTGCCGCCTGGGTAAGGCGGGAGGGAGTGTCAGACTCTTACTGACTAAAAACCACCCCGTTCCTTCTCCTGCACGTCGAGTCGGAGCCCCGGTAACCCGTTAAGTTCTCCGCGACGTTAGGTTCTCCGCGACTTTCCGTCTGGTAGATTATTTTGTGACATTACACACGTATTTTTTTTTTTTTACAGAAACGAATACTTTCGGCGATATATTGATTTGAAATGTCGCATGACGTCACTTCTATGTACATTTTATACGTAGAAATAACGTTTTAGCCTCCACTCCTAAACTTTAGTATCATTTTATTAAACTTACATCAAAATAAAAAATACATAACATAACATCACGCCTTTTATCCCCGAAGGGGTAGGTAGAGGTGCACATTATGCCACTGTACAATATATGTAACACCCACTTTTCACTATTTATGTTATGAGTCCCATAAAATAGAAGGTGAGCCTATTGCCATATACCGGGCACAATTCCAGACTCCGTGCTACTACTGAGATTTTTTAAAAACCTTGTAATACTTTGCCCAACCTGGGAATCGAACCCGAGACCCCTTGTCCGGCAGTCGCACTGGTGACTACTCGGCCAACGAGGCAGTAAAAAAATACGTGTCTAATATTTTTTCATTACCTAACTGGCGGTGTAATTAGATTTTTAATTTTCATATCCTGACATCATCCCTATTATGGCGCAGTACGGCTGAAAAGCAGGTGTTACCTACATTATAATTATGCAGAGTGCATCTATATCCTGCGTGTGTCCATATAGCAGACATTAAAATGTGTGAGATTTATGTCACCCACCTATTTTATGGTATTTTTTGAATCAGGTCACCGTCGCATTATGTGGTACATGCTATTGCATATGAACAAAGGCTAGGAGTCCGAATCCAAATCCCGGGTTGGACATTTCATTAGTACCTAGACGTGATTTTGACATAAGATTTCTACCAACTGGTAATCTATGCTTTAATTTTTTAAGTGTTTATTATTTTCAAATGTTATTAACCAATTGTTTGGAAATATATTATAATATACAAAGAACTTATAAAAAAAGGTTTTTCTTTAAATAAACAAGACAATACTTTTGTGGTTTTATTTAGATTACACGAGTTTCCGAAGCAATTACCTCACGACAATAAATAACACGTTTATTTGATTACAATTACAATCTTAACAATAATAGTTGTCGTATAATCGCGTTTGCCGAAAGCTTCACAACTTATTATACAATTGTAACAAATAACTATGTCTACTGGCTACTTTTCTACAATCTGTAAGCACATCAAGTAATTTATGTAGGTATACAGTAGAAATCCTTCATAGAAATTGTACAAGTTTCACTAGATTAAATAATTTCAATCACACAACGTAACTGACTGTAGCCGTAAACAAAATCACAATGCAGCACCAAAATTGAACCAAACTTAAATAATAAAATAACGGATGAAAAACAAATCAAAAGCATTTATTCACAACTTCAACTGAGCAACAGTAGCAATTACACATAGATGTAATATCGTAAATGGGTCATTCATATTTGGTAACTAGGAGACCGAAAATTAGTTTGTGTAAATTTGTGATTTCTGTGTAATATGTACAACTACATTTAATTACACAGCTTGATATCAAATACAAATAATGTATCCCATTCCAAAGCTTCTTTCCCCCTCAGTCTTACTCTCTTCTCTCCCTCCATCTCCTTGTGACTTTAAAAAACACAGTTTAGTAGGAATGATGACGAAAAATGTTTTCATATCTGTCTGGTACTTTATATTAATTAAAATATTGGACATGTGTTAAATATCAAAACCATTTTGGTTAAATTTGTTTCTACAGAACTACTTGTCAAATATTTTTTACAGTGTAACTGTAAGTCAGTTACTTACATTTTTAGTTTTCATAGCATCATCTCAATTGATTATGTATCCCGGTGTAAAACCCAATTTAACATACTACATCTATGGCTTATACTTATTTCGATTATGAGAGCTTGTTTACAAGAACACGATCTTTATGATAAAACGATTAAAACTACAAGAAACGTAAATATTTGAGATACAACAAAATTAAAATATACATAATTATGAGCGACAATTTCATTCGTAGAAAACTATGACAAAAGTTCAATCATGTTTATAACACCTTATAAATTACCTACAAAATTTAGAAAACATTTATTATCTATATCTTCATCATTTTTATATAATAGAGTAGTTTCCAAAATTTTATCTTAATGTCCGTTTGGTAGAAAACCTAAGACACGTATTTTTTTTCTCACAAAATTAAATACTTTCGACGATAATAATTTGAAATATCGTGTGACGTCACAACACGTTTAGTGCGGTGGCTGGGCAACCAGCTGCCACACAACGTGTGACGGGTTCGATTCCCACACGGAGCAACTCTTTGTGTGATCCACAAATCGTTGTTCCGGGTCTGGGTGTCAAGTGTATGTGAACTAGTGTGTTTGTAAACGCACCCACGACACAGGAGAAAATCCTAGTGTGGGGCTGAGTTTAAAAAAAACATGCTATAAAATGCAGATAAAACGACCTCCCACTCCTAAACTTAACGCGATGTTATCTAAGTATTTGAAACTTTGTAAGAGAAAAAAAATATGTGTCTAATATTTTTTATTATCAAATTGACGGACTAATTAGATTTTAATTATCATGCTCAGGCAACTACCCTAATACCTTATTATTTATGTTTCCAGATTTGTCTGTTAATCTATTTATTTTGATATTTGATACCTATTAATTAGGTCCTTGAACATAATTATGCTTTAATACTCAAAAGGGGATACTAGCAGCACTCTGCGCATGAAATTTGTATTCACATTAAAACATTACATCTAAAGCTTGACTTTAGTATATGCGTTCTTGTGTATGAATATAAAGTAGGACTATGTGCAGTGTATGAACAAAACAGCAAGAACCTATTCAAGGACCGAATAGTAATAGATTTTAATACACAAAGGTAGTTATGATATTATAGTGAATTCTAACTTCCAGTATTATTTAGGAACTAAATAAAATTTTAATAAAATCAATTTGATACATTTGCATTAAACAACGACACAAATACATTAGACATCTAATCAAATTAATTGAAACCATCTTAGTATGAATATTTCTTTCACAAAAATATTGTTGTATTTTGTAAAGGAAACATCAGTATTATGCACATTTTAATTTGTGAAACAGAATCATCTATGGTTTAGTCCACGCATTTAGATAACACAATATACATTTGATTTTGAAACAACTGAATATGAATGTTTCTTTTCAAGAAATATTAAGAAATCCTTTAAAGAAACATTAATATGCACATTAATATTTGAAACATAAAATGATTTAAATTACCAAACATCCAGTATAGGTGGTCCTTCAGTCTTCAATTAAAGTAAAAAGATCGTTCTTAGGCTTCACAGGAACAACTGAAGTATTGGTTTCTACTTTATTTTCTGGTGACATTTTGGCCTCTTTAACAGGCCTGTTATTTTCATCCTTTGATGGCTTCCTTTTCAAGCTCATAACTTTATTAGTGTAAATACCATCATTCCCATTTTGTTCACTAGAGGACACTTTCCTTTTCTTAGTTTTAGTGACAACAAAGTCTAAGTCTGAGGAATTATCATCATAGTCAACGTCAACATACACAGGCACAGTGCGGCCACTCCTAGTAGACCTTACTGGCTGCACTCTGGTGGTCTCCTCCACAATCTGCAGTGGTGGTGGCCAGGCAGCAAAAATAGCTGATTGCCTGGCCTGGTGATAGCTGTTTAAAGACATTAGTTTTATGTAGACTGCCAGACTGCGGGCTTTCTCAGCCGGTGATATAGTAGAGGGCAACAAACTCCATGGCAGGCGTCTGTCTCTCACATTCAAGTATCTCCTTTTCATAGACTTGTTAGGGGTAGAAATAAAATCAACTATCTCAGTCTGAAACACATAAAAGTGGTATGATTATATTAAGTTATATTAGGATTGTTATCATTTACTAAATATTCAACTCAACTTACATTTTCAGTATCACGAGCAGCTCTATCTTCTCTTACAGAAGATTTTGAATTTTTCAAAGCTTTCAAAAGATCACTCATTTCTTCTTTACTCAGATTCTCTTCCTCCAAGCCATATTCTAAGAATATAAAACAGGACAAGTTAAGGTTGAATTATAAGGTAATTATAAACAACAATCATTGGAGTAAACCAAGTAAAACTTAAAAATATAGGGACTCTGTGATCATTAAATTATTCTGGTAAGTAAGTACCTAACAAAATATTAAAAATAAAATATCACATTTTATTTCGACTGAGAAATTTTAGTATCGTAATATTCTTATTTTATTTTTACAAATGTAATCAAAACACTTAAAAAACATAATTATCATTTTACCGATCAATTCACTCTTCATATGCTTCATTTCGGAATCACAACTATCGTCAGATGATAGTGCCGGCTCCATTTTTTATGTAATTAGAATAATCAAATCAACTTTTAAACTTGCTCCAACCTTTTCATAACAATTTAGTGCATAATAAAACAATAGCGCATTACAAAACACAAAAACATTGAAAGTTGATAAACACAACTCCAATCAAATATCTTCCTATTTACTAACTGTCTGTCAAATCAAAGTGTCAATCAAAAAATACTTATCTACCTATAATAGGCCTATTGACATTTTAGCCCCTGATGTTGGCAACAGGTAGAAGCGAAAAACCGGCCATGAAAACCGGTATTAACAGAGGTATTGTGTCAGCAACTCACCAAACATTTTTATAACTTATTCTTCTTTTTTGAACAGTTAAATTATTCAATTATTACAATGTAAATCTGTTTTATTACTTTCTTCGTAAACAATTTGAATTGTGCGTTTATTTTCTTTGTTCTAAATCGTAATCACCTACCGTGAAATACAATTGATTTTTAGTCGATTCTAATGCAGCTCCATTGTCTACTGTTTTTATTTTTATACTGTGGGTGTGTGTGTTATGTGAGTGACAGATGAATTGACTTGTCCTTGTGTGAAGTGTGTAAAATGTAATGCAATGCATGTTGCGTTATTTTATTGTTGGTTTTATTTATTTATGACTGAAATTCTGTATTCAAGCTACGCGATGTTTTAAAATATTAAACATTCAATAAAAAAAATATAAAGTTTTATAAAATAGTGCGTATATATGCTTCGTTCCAATTAGAACAAAATGGAAGAAGAGATAAGATGTTTTGTTTGTAAAGAATTCTACAGGGAACCAGTATTACTACCTTGTGGACATGCACTTTGCAGAGTTTGTGCTGTCAATTTACAGACTCATATACCAGAAGGAGATAACTCTGCAGCCTCTAACGATTACCAAGAAGCGGACAAAGCCTCTGTATCTAGCGAAACTGACAGTGGAGTAGTATGTGGATCAAGGCCTAATAGTTACGCAGGAACCCCGGCAGCGCCCGCGTATTCAAGCGCAGCGTTTACAATAACTTGTCCATCCTGCAGTAAATTAGTTTACTTGGATGACAATGGAGCCGAAGGACTACCTCCATTTCGTGTCATGCGAACTATTGTTGAGCGATTCGGTGGTGTTACTGGTGCTCCGCCTGCTGAGGAAGCCTGCCAAATGTGCGAGGGTGAAAGGCGAGCAGCCGTGGTGAGATGTGAGCAATGTTCAGTTCGGTACTGCGCCGGCTGCCGCGACGCCTGGCACCCCACACGCGGGCCCCTGGCTCAGCACGAGTTGCGGCCGCTGGGCACCACCTGTGCAGATCATGGCTCGCCTCCCGTGCTCTATTGTAATGCCTGTTTAGTGCCCATATGTCAGCGCTGCCTTGCTGAAAGACACTCTACTCATGAAACACAAGCTTTGTCCACAGCTGCCAGGGCTCATAAGGTAATTTGAAATATCCAATGTATAAGCTTACCAACTGATTGTACTGGAAATAATTTAGGCCAATTAGAATTAACTGATTTCAACTGGACCTGTGCTTTTATTTCAGACTGAATTATCACAATCATTGCAACATCTATCGGAACAAGCCAAAGCCATGACAGAATACATACAACTAGTTAAAGGAACAGGGGACAAAATTAATGTGAGTACTTCATTGTAATATACTAAACCAAATTGTACCTGTGAAGTACAATATGAATTCTAAACAATTATTTTACATATTTAGTTTGAGTAACATGTTAACATTCTACATCCATAGGAATCTTGTGAAGAATTGGAAAAACAAATTGACAATGCTTGTTCTGAAGTAACTCGTGCCATAGAGAGGAGACGTGATGAGCTTATACGTGCAGCTAGAAACACACGGTCTCAGGCCATAACCAATATGCGCTCTCTGACTTCACATGCTGCTCAGAAACTGCGAGAAGCAACAGCTCTGCTGCACTTCTCCATTGAAGCTCTCAAAGAATCTGACCATGCAGCTTTTCTACAAGTAAGTCATTTCTGGTTAGACTAATATGAATTCAATGAGAATAAAAATTATGCAATCCATCTATGTACTGCATTTAGGTACCACCTAAATAGTTTTCTAATTTAAAGTAGACTTTAAAGCATTTTTTTTTGAGGACCCCTTCATTCATGACTTCTCTCGCCTTGGGTTAGGCGAAAGATAGTATAGACTCTTACTGACTAAAAACCACCCCGTTTCTACTCCTGCTCTTCGAGCCGGCAACCCATTAGGCCGTCCGCGGCTCCGTATTGGGCATCAGCCCTATTGGGCCCCATCTGTGGTGGTCTGATGGCTCTTTGAGGCGCGCGCAACGCGACGCGCCGTACACACGGGTCTGGTTCTGATCGGGCGGCGAGCTACTCTTACTCACCGTCCGCAGACTCGCACTTACGGTAGCCGAAGATCGTTAAGCGATCTCCGACGCCCGGAGTGTCTCCCGCGACGCCTAGTTTATCCCTTGTATAATTATTTAGTAAGTAGGTACCTACCAATTCATATTAGTTTGAGTACCATTACTTTTAAAATGCATAAGAGAAATCAACCACCTGCAACTTTACTAAACCTAAACATTATATTGATTCCTTTATCAATTCCGTATTATTAGATTGACCTAGTTGTAATGTAGCTGCTATCAATCAACAAACAGTATTACATTATTTACTATAATATTGATAAAGCTTATCTTCCATGTCACAATATTACTATGTACTTGCACATTAGTGTTTTACTTCGTGGGTCTTAACTAGTCCCATATTATCTTATTTTCATCAGGCATCAAATGTAGTGCATAGTGCATTAGTACATACTAGAATATGAACATCAAAGTTGTGTGCAGAAAATGACAGAAATGCATTTATCCGTTTGTTGTAGTCCCATGCCGAGAGGGCGAGCTATTGTCCTACACCGGGTTCGCGTCCAATGAATCCCATTATTTATAACTTTCGAAAACTGAAAATCTCTACACTGTACCCAATTCGGTAACCGAATTTGAAACCCTATGTTCAACAGTCGCGCTTTCGACTCAGTTTACATTTTATTGTTACAGCTGTTATTAACACAACAATGTGTAAACTAAATACGTACTTGAAATGTATCCATCAGGATAACCAATGGAATTACTCAGACTATCGCGATCGTGTTGTGCCAGGTGTCAGTTATCAATAAGTGAACAACTATCTAAGAAATGTAAACAAAGCAGTGACTCGAACACATTACGTTAGCCAAAGCTTTGTGAACAAAGGATATATTGTTATGTTTTACTTATGGAGCATACCATACCCGTATTGGCGTAAATTGATGTCGACTAATTAATAATTCATACTTTTTCAACTAATTTGGCTTGACTGCCTCGTTGGTCATATGGTTGCAAAGGCGACTGCCGATCGACAAAAGTAGTTCGATTCTTGAGTCTGACGAAGTATAATTGGGATTTTACCTTACCCCATTAGGAAATAACAATGTTACATTTTTAACCTACTGATTGTTTAGTAATGTTAACACTTAGCTCTTGTGTTTCCAGCAAATAGCTTATAACAAATGATTATTTTGTCAGGTGGGGAACATATTGTCGGCGCGCGCGCAAGAAACCGCGTCAAATCTGTGTTCGTCTTTAGACACCCCGCCCACCGCCCCAGCCCTCACACTCGACGTGGAGCCAGTATTGCGCACCGTCAGAAGTATGAACTTCGTGGAATGCATACGTAAGTTTACCAACTATTGTTGTACAATTACATTATGATAATACTGCATACCCATACACAACATATCTGAACAACGTGACAATTAAATCCCTTTTCTTTTCTTGCTAACATTGGATATACAGCAGCGGAATGTCTTATGAAGTCATCAGGTAAAGAAATGTCTTTGAAGTAATATTGATCACAAGTGTTATCTATAAATGGAGATATTATTAGAAATTCAGTTGAATAAAGCTGTGACATTATTTTAAGTTGCGTCACTGTTCGCAAAAACGATTGCCGAGCAAGGAGTCTTGGGTTCGAGTCCAGAGAAAGGCAGGTAGAACACAAACTAGAATTTTTCCCAGTGAGACTTATGGGTCAATTACACGGGCTCCAAACATGAGAAGAAGTTCTCTCTCGGGCCTACCTTTTCGGGGTTTAAAAGATGTAACGTTATGTTTTTCAGTTCGTATAGTCTTATTTATCAAAGAAGAAATAGAAATTGACATTAGAATACGAAAATAGAACAAGTACATAAGAATTATTATGATACAGCGCCCGGCGCTCCTGAGATGGCAGTGGAAGCCTGTGCAGCGCGCGGCTGTTCGTGCACGCTTGCGTGGCGGGCTCCGGCACAACCTCATGCCGTGCGTGGATACGTGCTGGAACTAGACGACGGACTGGGCGGACCATTTCGGGTAAGCAAGTTTTTTATACATCTGTATACCATGATATACCTACAAAGCCTGTATAATTCAACAATAGGGAAGTAAATCCCACATGTCGACAATCTCATGAGCTAAATCAAGATATTTGCTTGCTATATCTTTTTAGCTTTCACAAAATTTTCGTTATGTTGGATTATTTATAGTTCGAAAACTATCATCAACTAATAAGAGGGGTATAGTCTAATTAAGTATAAAAAGTAGAACAGTTTGGTACAGTTTAAAGGAATAAGTAATGTTTATTTTTTAAAAAACGTTGCCCCACCTCTTTATTGCAATTTTGTAGTTCAAGTCTGACAGAATGTTATTTTTTTTTTACTTTTAAACCTTCACGCTTTAGCTCAAACAGGATTCTATTTCTCATTATAATTATGGTTACTTGCATACATGCCATGCTATCAGTTTACTTCAACTCTCCACTTGTCGATCTCACGAAAGTACTTACTCAACATTGCATGTTAATTTAGAAAAGTTGGCAAAGGTTTCTAGAACAGTCGAGCGCCAGTTAAATTACTTCTACTGAATTTCAAACATTAGTAGACATTGAACCGGTCATTGCAAATATCCGTTTCTACTTAGATATTACTAATAGTAGGTAATAAATAAAATTAATTGGTATTAAGGCCTTGACTGGACTGGACTCTATGATCACTTAAATCAGCCTTTATTGCTACCAAAGTCAATTACGTCCAATAGTACTTTATTTCTAGGATTATTTACCTCAAATAAATTTATAATTTAAATAGAGGTATGTACTATGTGTTATAAACATAGATACCATCAATTTATTACGTGGATACTAAAATCGTCTAAGCATGACAACTAGCCTGAAACTTGAGTGTTCTTTACCCTCACTGCTAGATTATCTTGATCTTGGTTCCTATTATGAAGCAATTGTGAACTGATCATTTTGATCTGTCGCATTATTAGACACTACGTTACGCCTGAAACTTGAGTTTCAGTCTGCTCATTGTTCAAACAATAGTTGATAAGGGCCTCATTGTTCAAGTCGAACGATTTTATTATGTCTAATATTGCCCATCCTTATTTCCAGTGAAATAAATTTTATGATTAGGTAGATTAATTGGATAAGATGCAAAAACAATGATCCATCTTGTAATTAAAGTATAATTCATCATCATCAATTAGATTATGTTACGATATCGCGACGTCAGACTGCAGAAATCCCTCATGTCTAAGAGAAATTTATCATTTGGACTACATGAAATTCTAACTGTTTGTAGAATATAAAGGAACTAGCTACTTCCGCACAGTTTCACACGCTCTGCTCAGCTCCTATTGGTCGTAGCGTAATGTATTAATGCCTATAGCCATCCTCGATAAATGCGCTATTCAACACAAATTATTCAAATCAGACTTGTAGTTACGGAGATTAGCGCTTTCAAACAAACAAACAAAAAAAACAAACTCTTTCGCTTTATATTCAATTAATTAATTAGATATCTCAACCTATTTGTTCTAGGTACCTACTTGATTATATTATTTAAACACTTATCTTAGTATCGCGTATAAACCCGATAAAATCTGGACCTAAATTACAAAACAATAACATAAATGTTAGTTAAAATAAAAGTACGCGAGTGTTTATCACCACAATTATGTGCAAAGTACGAAGACGTAGGTTCTGTAAATCATATAATGCAAAATAATTAATTAATTATTCTACAAAGGGCCGTAATGTATAGGCACGCTATAGAAATATATTTACCTTTATGTAGATAGGTACATTATGATTACCATACACAATACGGCTTATTGTTTTCATTTACTAACTGTGCTCATCCCATTACTCGTAAATTCTATAGCATATTATCATCTACATTTATCAAATGTAAGCTAATGTGGCCTTGTGGCGTATATTTGTCGTAGATAAGCAGTCGTACCATGTTGTGATGCTATACATTCATGCTATCTGATTGTTTACCAAAAATTATACTGTTTTTGTTATGTGAAATATAGATTAGGCCTTGTATATATTATAATATATACTATAATATATCATAATTATGATAAAGTGTGATAGTTCGACTTATTTATTAATATGAAGTTGTTTTTCTGATGATTACAGGAAGTATATTGCGGGCGGGAAACAGTGTGTACTATAGATGGACTGCACTATGCCTCGTTGTACAGCGCCCGGGTGAAGGCTTTCAATGGAGCTGGGGAAGGTCCTTACAGCGAAGTAATTGGGCTTCAAACCTCTCCAGGTACTTAAAACATATTGAATTTTCCTATCACATTAGGAAATACTAACGATCTTACTTCTTATAAGTACTACATTAATACTTCTATTTCAGTGGCGTGGTTCACGTGGGACGCGCGGTGTGCGGAGGCCGAAGGTGGAGTGACGCTCAGTGCAGACGGACTAAGTGCGGCTGCGACGGGCTGGCAGCCACGCGTCGCGCTCGCAGACCAACCACTCGCTCGCGGATTGCACTACTGGCGACTGCGCATCGACAGATACGATGGAGACGCTGATCCTGCTTTCGGAATTGCTAGAGCGGATGTTGCCAGAGATAAAATGCTAGGTGAGTTCTACTAATATATTATAATAAAAATTAAAACTGCTATAAATAACCAAGGGACACAAGCAGCGACCTCTAAATTTTCAGTAACCCAACTGCAATACCCACACTGCCCGTGAAGCTTGAAATATTCCCAAACCCCTCCTAATAAAGACTTTTATTCAACGTGGGACACAATAATTAACGCAGAAAATATGAAAGAAAGGAATAGTAAAGCAGTACTAACTGCGGTTACATAATTATTATGTTCGTAGGTAGCGACGCATTGGGTTGGGCGATGTACATCGATGGTTCGAGGTCGTGGTTCGTGCATGGCGGCGCGCACGGTGGTCGGGCGGCGGGAGGCATTGCTCGAGGTTCCTGCGTTGGTGTACTACTTGATCTCACTCGTGGCACGCTACGTTTCACTGTAGACGACCAACCCCAGGTATGAAACTTAAAGGATTTTGACAGTATCCAATTTTATAGGTTTTGTTTTAAGAAAGTTATGCTGCTTATTTTAATCGGTACATTTAGCGTCATCTAGTAAATCTAGATTACTCTTGCAGGGTGATATAGCATTTACGGGCCTTCGCGGAGCGTTCTACCCGGCTGTGTCATTGAACCGCGGTGTGGCCGTCACTCTGCAGCCAGGCCTGCCGCCGCCACCAGACCTGCTCATATCACAACTATCTATTGAATAAAATCACAGCTTATTACTATATCAACAAGAATGACACACATTAAGTGAAACTTTGCTAAGTTACAGAGACAGCATAATATCGCTATGAGCGTACCAGTCATAACTTTGCAATCTTATTACTAAATGACTACTTTATGTGTGGCATAGATAAACTATGACCTAACTTTACAAGGAGTTACTTAATCCCAGAAACAGAAGTCAAGAATAGAACACTGGCAGTTACATTAAGTTCTGTGAGTAAAGTCAAAGCAACTCAGTTAAACTTGTTGTTATCAAGTTTCATATCAACTTATTTTTAGTATATGTATAATTATTAATTATCACGCCATGTGAACAAAAAGTACATTTTTATTAAGAATTACGCACATTATAGTATAAACTTTTTGATTCGTACTTAATTAAGGATTTCAATGCCCACATATATTTAGTTATATTTTGTACTTATTTGAATACGCCTACTTAAAAGCGCAATAGAATATCGAATTTACATTAAGAATCGTTATTAGATACGTATTTTGTAATGGCCCATAGTTGTAAGCTGTGTTTAAAATGTAATGTCATTTAGATAGATATTAGAAATTGGGATGTGTGAAATTGGTTTAGTTTACAATTATTAATATTTTGAAAACGGTATGCCATAAAAAGCTATTAATATATTATAATAACAATTATTGGAGTATATAAAATACTTTTTTTAAGTAAATTTTGAAGTTGTACTTAATAAATATAATTTGATCTCTTCATTTAAAATTAAACTATTTAGTCATGCATGAAATATGAACAAACTAAGTTAATGTTATGACAAAGTAATACATGACATTGTAAGTTAATTTCTTTACTAAGTTATTTTTTTTTAATCTGATTAACCAGTGATGAGTATCAGGGGACCTGAGACGTAATAAAAGATTCCAATACCCACCAGAACTATCCGCCAATAAATGTTTCTTTAACTGTAAGACAGCTATATATTTTTTATTATGCCTATTTATACTTATGTGATGAACTGCCTGTTATCTTTAATAAAACATGTGTTCAAAATTTAATTGATGACATCCGTTTTTTTTCTTGGTTCATAAAACAAGTGGTAAGCAGATAACTTGCCATCCAGTCTAGTATTTCCTCTAATTTTATAAAAACCATTATAAAATACTGTACTTTTCTTAAAACAATTCTAAAGGTAAATTTCTGTCAAGAACTTATTTAGCAGAAATTAAAGGTACAACATGAACTGTGACGTAACAGAAATAACTAAGTGTATGTGCACAAGTAGCGAGATATACCCAACACAATTTGTAAACTGTTACATAAAAAATTATAATTTTTTATGTAACAGTTTACAAATTGTTAAAGAATTATTAAAGATGACTTGGAGAACGAAACGAGAGGTATGAAGAATCGTAGCAATTAACTTTTCATAGTCTCTGCCTACCCCCATGGGAGACAGGCGTGAGATTATGTATTTATGTATAAAGATTAATAAAATTACTCTTTACATTAAATTAGAAGTTTCTTCGTAAGAACTATCCCCAACAATTTGTGTGCAAATCAGTATTTTTGTTTTATGGTTCATTTTTTTTATATGCAGTAGGTTATTACTTTATTAGTGGAGAAATTTGGTTTATACCCTTGATTTTTCACTAAACTATATATTTATAACTTCATAAACGAGAACGTTGATATTTTATTTATTGGAATAAATTTCTCCGATATTTGCTTTTGCTTAGCCCTTTATTATTAATTGGGAGCAACTGTAAATCTAGATCTACATATCCCATAAAAAATAAACGTTAGACCTAGTTGTTGCCATCGAAGTTAAAATGTAAATCACATAAATACCTAATTATTTTTAAGAAAACTGTGCTATTATTGACTTGCGTAACTGAATGTATGTACCTACTTAATTGCGACTGATTTAAATAAACTTTTTATTTAAAATGTGTCTCATTGATTTAACCGCTTGATTGCTTGTTTAAGAGACACAATAGAAAATACATTGTCTCGCGTGGATCCACGTTTAGATACGATGGGTTAAGTACAAATTATGTAGATGGTAACTAATTATTCAACAAAAAGGAAAAGTACATAAGGTGGAATAGGTAAATCATAGTAATTGTAAAAAAGTACTACGTGAATGGAAACGAATCGTAGCTCCGCCAAAACTTTTTCCTAAAGTGATTGCAGATAAGAAACACTTTTATGTACCTATATCTAAGGTGGATAAAAAATAAAAAAGGAAATGGCGTGAAGAGTTTATTTTTGGCCCGTTTTTTAACAACAATATATTTCTGAAATAGATAAAACAAGATAAACAATTATTAAATTACAGAATATGCCACTGCCAATATAGGTCTCACTCTAGAATGTATACTATTTCGACTCGTATTTTGTATAAGAGCATGATTTATTGAAACTATAATATCTATATAAAATCTTATCTGATATGCTTTCTATTTCGGGTTTCAAATATTTTGTTCAATTATGATCATCATTGTATTTTCCTGATAGATGGTGCAGCGGCAACGCCGATTCAAAAAATTTTAACCCACAATGAAGGGTTTGTCAGAGGCTTCAGACACGTGTCAAAACATCATACATATTAAAATGAATTACGAGATCAAATACCGAGCACGAGTTTCGACAATCAACTATTTTTTACAAGCCTTTTTTAACTTGTTGCTTTTCATTTTCAAAAACAGTAGTCGTGAATCAACGTTGTCACATGTGTACAAGTAACGTAATAATCAGGATATTGCTCTTTATTTTATTAACCTGCATAGTTTCGTAATATTAAATGGTCATTTACATTTACACATACTTCAAGATTATCGGAAGACTAAATAATTAAATTTATAGTTCAAAGGTACACACACGAATCTTAACCCAGCTACGCACGATCAGCAACACAGATGCTTATATTTTCAATTACATCCAATTATTCAGTATATTTTATTAACTATAAACATTATATATAGTTGCTGTGTTGCTGGGTGTACCATGAAACCATCATAACCTTTATCACAGATATATTTTGTCAAAATCATTTTCCATGACTCACAACATTTGTATGCAATTTTCACCAATTATTGAATCAAGCTTCCACTTTTCAAAACAATCCTTATACTAAATACAATCAGCAAAGCAATCTTTACAATTCTCAACTTGGTCTATTCTTAATTTTACAACCTGTAATTTGCACTAACACTTTTCTTATAGGTCAAATTTAACAGGCTAATAAAATAAACATTAAGAAGTGCAACTCTGAAACACCGAATACAAATAAAAAATATGATATTTCAATTTTACATTCGCAAAATGAAGTAAATTTAAAATCAAGTTTCCAAACAAATTATGTATGTAAATTGACAGTAGGACATATATTATGAGAGATTTCCTGCATTGAGTAACAACAGGTTTATTTAAACAAACACAAAAGATTCTACAAATTCTGGTTGTTGTACTCTATACTTTCAGTAAGGCCTGTTAACCAAATAACTCTTCACTTGACATCCCGAATCTTTTTTTTTTATCCCCTGAGAGCAGATGGAAATATCGTTTCTTTACACGAAGCCCTCTAAAATAGTTCCCCAAAATGAGCAACATGCCATTTCTGCAAGCCACAACAGAATGATTTATTCCTCACTGTGTCACAGTTCTTGCAAATATTATGTTTTATAAAACAATGTTGACTTAAATACCAGATAAGCCAGGAGGCCTGATAAAGATAAAAACACATTTCTGTGTATTAATAATTGCCATTGTGATTGAGATGATAATATGGCCATTTTAAATTATTTATCTTTAGTCAAATTCTCCAGACCCAAATTTTAAACTGTAAATTACTGAACTCTATGACAGAACCGCTTAAAAATAAAATATAATCAGTAACATGATAACAATTCTTTAAAGCTAGGTCAAAATGATATGCACCCAGATCAAAATAAAACTGAAAAATATTTTTTGATTATACTTGTTTGAGATCAGTTAAGTTTTGTCTGAAGGGGTTTGTATCATCATGACCTTCCTTTTATAAATGTGGCTTGTTGACAAATATTGTTTCAAGCGGCCAGAAACAACATGATATACACTGAAATGTTTCTTCTTTAACAATAGATGTTGTTTGAGCTAGTCTAGTTACCTACCCACCTCACAGAATTTTAAAAGTTATTTTGATAGAAAATAAAACTGGCGCTAGCTCAAACTTATATACATATAGTGTGGATAGGCACTCATGATATCAACAGAAAGTCAACCACAATTTATGTTAAGATGCTGGACAAATCTAGGTAGACTCTCACAGATGATGCTCAAATAAATATTTTTTATATTTTAACAATGTAGGAATTCGCACACAATATCCAATATGGACAAAGTACACAAGATACCTTTTTGTTTATGTCCTGATGTGTGGTTTATTTACACTTTAAAAAAGTAACCCATTTCAGGTCAAAGTCTTACTCACGATAAACTATTTACACTCACATTTTGTTACAATAAATTCATTACACTTTTTTACAAATAAGTTTTTGTTTTTAAAGATTTAAACTATGTAGTTCCTTTCACCAGTCAGCAAGTCCAGTTAGATGGGGCACGCGCAGCGAGCAAGTGCGCGAGCGGTGCGACGACGGCACGGCGTTACTTGTCGGCCGAGTCATCGTCGTCCGGGCGCGCTACGTATAGCGCCGGGTCGATCACCTTCGGGATCGGCTTGATCTCAGTACCCAGCTCTTGCTCAATGCGATGCAGAGCAAAACGGTCCTCATATGTGATTAGGTTGATAGCAATACCCAAGTGGCCGAAACGTCCTGAACGACCGATGCGATGTAGATAAGTTTCAGCCATACGTGGGAAATCAAAGTTGATGACGACGTTGACAGCTTGCACGTCGATACCTCTAGTGAACAGGTCAGAGCACACGAGATTGCGGCAGAGTCCCGCCCGGAAATCGTGGAACACACGATTACGATGTGCTTGCGCCATACGCGCGTGAATGTAGTAACAGCAGTATCCTAGTTCAGTTATTTTCTTTGCCAGTAACTCTACACGCTGAGTTGAATTACAGAATATTATAGACTGGTTTATTTGCAACTGAAACAAAAAGGTATCAACTATAAAATAATGTAAATTAGGTAACATTCATTAATATTAAATGAATCAATTCTAGTTAAGATATTACAAAATAAATTATAGTAATACAAACCTTAGAAAAAAGTGTATTTAAACAATGAACTTTCTGTCTCTCTTGTACAAATGCATAGTACTGTGTAACTCCCTTCAGTGTTAACTCCTCCATGAGATTAATCTCATATGGTTCTCGTAAGTGCTTTTCCATGAATTGCTTTACACTCAGTGGGAAGGTTGCGGAGAACAGTAAGATCTGGCGTTCTTTGGGCAATCTGAGAAAATATTATAAACATTCATGTCTGTTTAAAGAAATCTACCTGGAATAAAAAATATAACAAACTAGCTGTTGCCCACGACTTCGTCCGTATAGAATATGATTCCCGTTTTATCCCATAGGAGCATTTAATAAAGTATCCTATCACCTAAGACAAGCTTAACTCTGCCTGTATACCAAATTTCATCAAAGTCCATTCATTGGTTTCAGCGTGATTGATGGACAAACATCCAAACAAAGAATCTTTCACATTTATAATAATAGAGTGATGAACAAAACACACATACCGTGAAATAACCATATCCAACATTCCTTTAAAGTCTTGGGAAAGAAGTTTATCTGCCTCATCAAGAACCAGCATCCTGCACTGGTCCATCTTGGCAACTTGTTTATCCATGAGATCAATCATACGACCCGGCGTAGCAATAATAACTTGAACTGAAAAATACAAGACAAATAAGATATTATCCCACCACAAAATAACAACATATTATAAATTAAATTTAGAAAATAAAATAGTTTTTACCATTTTGATAAATACGCATAATGTCATCCCGGAGATTAGTACCTCCAGTAGTAACCATTACGCGAATATCTGTGTGCTTTGCCAGTTCAATGCAAATTTGTGATGTCTGGAGTGCTAACTCCCTAGTTGGTACCACAATTAAAGCTTGAATAGCATCTTTTTTGGGATCCACCTAAATATACAGAACAAAAACATTTTTAATACACTACAACTTCCTACAATATTTTGTGGATACAATCAAGTGGTCAAATACATAGTCAGTTAATACGGGTTTTGTCACTTATAAACAAGTGAAGGGGAATCCAAAAATATCATCATTCAAGTCTTTTCAGTAGTAAATTTACAATACCCAACTAGAAATTAATAACAGTCATACAAACCTGTTCTAAAACTGGAATACAATAAGCGCCAGTTTTGCCAGTTCCATTTTTAGCTCTTGCGAGGACATCTTTACCACTGAGTGCAATAGGAATAGAAGCCTCTTGAATAGGAGAAGGTTTTTCCCATCCTTTCTCAAAAATGCCCATCAGCAGCTCACGTTTTAGGCAAAACTCTTCAAACTCATTACCTCTTGTGTCTGTTACATCCTTTAAAGGCAAGAATGAACAATGAACGTCATGAATGGGAATATTACAACACTGATCGTCTTACTAGAATTTTTTCAATAATATAAAAAAATCTCTTTAAATATAATGGAAATGTTTTTGTTATTTTTTTTTTGTAATTAGGTAATTCTATTGAGATTCTATTTGAAATATTAGTTTGGACACTAATTAGACTCTTTTTTTGAGTCTTTTTAATAGGAAGTTTGGTACAAATTATTTATAATGAAGGTAGTTTTAACTTACACTAGTCTTTATTCTCCTGTCTTTCGGGGGTATTTTTAATTTTGATTTCCAACCGATGTCATCGATACTTTTATCGACATCACTGTAAAAAGTAATTCGAATTATTATTAAATTCAGAAGTATAAACACATTAGCAAACAAAGAGTTATACGAACCCCTTATTCTGACTGGTCATACTGTTTCCAACGTGATTACTTGAACTAATTCTATTTTCGGTCATCATTTTGCCAAATAATCCCACTAGGGACACGACTAAAATTAGAAACTTAGAATCACAATTCTTTGTCCAAGTCCGACACTAAATAAATTTTACGATAAGTCACTTTTCGACACATAAGCTATTTAGAAGTTTATCACGTTCACCAACTTAGTCCGGGGATATCTGAAACAATAAAGACATCATACATAATTAGCATTATAGTATAGATAGGCACGCCAAAGAAAGATAGGTAAACGAGATTACGAGACGCGTCAACAAGCCTCAAAATAAGTAGGTAAAAATAATTACAAAACAGAAATTGGCCATGAAAACAAATACCTAATAGAACTAATAAGTATATAACAAAGGGGATGTAATTAAATTTTGTTCTACTATGTATTTAAACATAAACGGAACAAGATCAAAGAGATTACACAGGATAAAATGAAGTCGTAGTTTTGTCTTCGAATTTTAATATGGCCGCCAAGAAATATTTAAGTGACAAGTAGTTATTACTATATGTAATTGCCAAAGAAGTTGCACAATAACTTTTACAACTCATACGTATCGAATATAAAAATAAAATACGCAAAATTCATATAAACATTACCTTGATAAAATTCTACAAAAGACGACGACACTCGATACTCGGCGACGACATCACAATGTAACCAAAACAGTGTTGCCAGTTGCCAATTGTTTGATAGAAGTTTGCTTGCATTGCCTTCGCTTTCGTAGATAAACAATTATGCAACGTTACGTTCGGATTTAGCAGTGCGTGTGAATGTACCAAATTTAAATAAAAAGTAAAAAATATTTATTTGCAGATAAAATTAGTAACTTTATGTGCAATTTTACCTACATCCAAAATTCTTTTAAAATTTATTAGAAAGAGAAAAATATTAAATCAGTCGTTATACACTGTTTAAACGAAAATACTATTACAGTAGAGAAAACCTACACAGATATGACTCTATCTACCAACGTGCATACATAAAGATGCGTCCACATCTGGTAAATGTGCCGCCCACGGGTTGTTTGCGGGCTGCCCGCGACCTGCGAACGTGCAGTTACAGCAATGATATGGTACTCAACTCATAAAAGGTTTATATAAATGATAGTTCCAAATGCTTCGCGCATGCAATTAAAATTATTATTTCATGTACCATAAAAATAATGTTCCAAACAAGGATGTTGAAAAATCAAGAACCATTTTCTTTTTAAATGGTCTCATTCAAATCAATGTGTATGTTAAATAGGACTCAAGTAAGAATCAGATTACATATTTTTTTTACTAAGTTTCTATATGTAAACTGTAATATTTTATTTATTTATATAAATATAAACCAAATTCTTAAATTAGTAAAATAACACAATAATAAGTACTAAATAAATTATTATGTTTTCGCGCCCTCTGCTGTGATTCACGCTGGGCCCACAGACTCTAGTAGCCAGTAGCAGTGCGACAGGCGCTGCGTCGCGAGTCGCGAAATGCTGCTCATGAATATGAGCCTCTAGCATGGCTTGAAACAAGTCTAGTTCCTCGTCGTGAGTAAGCCGAAAACATAATAATTTATTTAGTATGTCTTACGAAAGTTATCATACAAATATAATATGTACTGCTAAACTTTTCGTTGTATTAGTATATTTTTATACTATTTATAAATCTAGTAGCAGTTTTAAGCCCCATGGATTATCGATAAAAAAAGATAATATAGACAAAAAACTCTACGTCTATCTAAATAATATCATTTCGTTTAAGTAAAGATACAATTTATGATAATTAATATATACATACAACTTAAAATATAAAAAACAATTTAAAACTAAAATATTTACACCTTAAAAAAAATTATAATAAAAATAAATCGTAAGGCATCAAAGAAAACATTTTCCTCATCGCTACCGTGAGGTAGGGTGCCCAAAAGACTGGCAGCATTGCCACGTTGAATGGCAATGCTTAACCTTTGCCCAAGGTAGTAGCTAGCCCTTCGATCACCTGAAGTGTCAACCATTGAACCATCCTCCTTACAATATCTTCGTAAAGAAGATGTGCACTTGGGCCCCACGGCCCTAAAGTTTCAACCCCAAACGGTTCGAAAGCATAATTGCCAATCAGGCTATTATACTTTCGCCGTTTGAGGTCCTCGGCATCGGCAGCAGCGGCGGCAGCACCGGCACGACACGCTGAGCTCGGAAGATGGGATGGCGCCAGAGTATCAACGCAAGTGGCGTCCCATACTAAAGCCCTACTCATCTTCCAAGGGAATAATGACATACCGTCGGGTCTCTTGCCATCATCCCGTACCAAGCCATAAGGTTCTAAAGTAGCTGGCACGCCAACGGAGGCAAAAGCTCGACGAATTATGTCATTAATACTTGCGTGTCGATCAAAACGACCCGCACTACGGCTACATGACAAGCCGTGGTGCCCAAGGCTGTTGACATCTTCATCAAGATTAGTTGACGTTGTCAACTTGACAAGCGCTTGGTTGCCAACAAATTTTAATGCTAAAAATCACATTCTAATTTTACCGTATTATTTTATTCAATGGTACTGTACCGTTACCGTATTTGATATGTATTTGTAAATATTTGTACACAAGAGATTCAGTTTGTTGTTTTTGCTGCAGAAGCCAGACCTAGAAATGCAAATTAGAATCTTGTGTTAAAGGTGAAATTAATTAATTATACCTAAACAAGAAATTAAACAGTATTGTATAAAGTGAGTTTGTTGAGGAATCCACTTTGTTTGTACCTTAGTTCATTAGAACTTCAACATGTAAGTAATAAAAAGAATATATACCTTCATGTAAATATTTAAAAGTCAAGTACGTTTATGTTATCATAAATAAATACATATTTATTTCAGGACAGAATATTGGAAATCTCAGGCTCGAAAGTATTGTGAATTTTGCAAATGTTGGTTTGCTGATAACAAAGTGGTAAGTATATAAAGAACTATAATTAGGTATAATCTTTCGTTGTCACTACAAAAATGTAAATCACTTAATTAACATATTATAAACCATACAATAAATAATAAAATACCATGGAAAATAACCTTGAAATAAACAATATAATACCACAAACTTAATAACCTAAAAAAGGAGGAATTCATTAAAGGAAGTGAAAACTGTTGCTTTTGTTCTCCTATAATATGAAATATTATTGTTTAATTTTGAAATCAAATTAATCACTTAATTTTGTTGCGGGAACCAAGACAGTTATTCATTACGCGCCTGACTTCAGTGTTTTCATGGTTACAACTATGAAAACATAAAAGTGTACTGCAGATCCTGACTAATTATTTTATTATGTGTTCTCTTGAATATACATTAACAACATTATGAACTAAACGAAACAGAACCTATAAGTAATGTAAATGCAAAATGTTTTGTTGATATAAGTAGGAACAAAATTGCAAGGAAGAAAAAACAACAATAAGTGTAAATAACTTTTATTTTCAGTCCATATCCTTTCATGAGAATGGTAAGCGCCACAAGGAAAATGTTCAGAAACACATATCGCAGCTTAGCAAAAAGAGTGCCAAAGAATTCAAACAGAAAGAAAAAATTGATGATGACATGAAAAAAATGGAAGCTGCTGCTATGGCAGCTTACTTAAATGATATTAAGAACAATGCAGATCTTACATCACAGGTAATAAATAAGTATGTATATTGTACATGCATAAATATGTCCAGCAATTACATTTTAATATACACCTGCAATGCCCTAATGAATGAAATAGAACTAATGTCCAAATTCTCAAACACTACTCAATTCTAAGTAGTGCTAAGCATAGTCCTGTCACTACAAATTCTTTGTGTACATGACAGAGACGGCTGAATATTAACCTTTCATGTGTCTAAGACGTGGATCCACGTGAGACACACTGTATTTTCTATTGTGTCTCATATTGGTGCATTCAAGCAGTTAGAGTACAACTTAAAATTGAGTAGCCTTACAGTATTTGGGCATAATACTTTAAAAGGTATTATAACTAATCTCTGAATTTATTTTTATTCGTTCATACATTGTTTCTCATACTCCATGAGGCCTTAACTCCCTGTGACATAAGTGCACCTTGCTTTTTGTATTAATGAATCTTTTCATCTAATTTCAGAGTATTAATGATTTAATAAACCAGAGTGGTAGCAGTGAAGCTACTATTGTGGTTAGTAATTCACCCACTTCCAAGGCACCACCAGCCTGGGAAGAAGTCAAGAGTGATGATGGAAGCTCCTATTACTGGAATACTATAACAAATGGTTTGTGTCAATTATTGAAACTTATTTTTTATTCAACAAAATGTAGCCAATGTACTGTACAATTTAAGCTTCTGTGTCAGGTTATTGGAAATTATGAAAACCCATAATTTAGAGATTGAACCCAAAATATTGGCTTGTTTTACCGCAGTATTGGGAATCTAAATTAGTTCCAAGAAAGTAATCTTGATTTTAAACACATATCTTTAAGTAAACATAAGTATTTCGTTAAATTTAAACTGTCAAACACCAAGCGGTCACCGGTGACCGCAACCTATTGTTCTATAATTGTGTCTATAATGACGGTATTCGACGAGTTAAGTTTAGTGTTAATTGTTATATTTGATTACAGAAACCACCTGGGATGCACCGGACGAATTTGTATCAGTAGTAGAAAAAGAGAAGAACAAATTAAAAGAAGAAGCTCAAGAGAAAAAGAAACAGAAAATAAAGTGAGTGGGACATAAAAATACCTTAATTAAAATCACCCAGTCCTATTAGTTTCAAAATAAAATCTTTCCTATTATTAATATATAAATACTTTTATTACAGAAAACAACAACAAAAACAAGCTCAGAAAGATGTACATATGGAAGTTAATGCTCACTTAGCAAGAGAGAAAATGAAAGAATTAGCGGTTAAAAAGGACCCAGAACCAGTCAAGAAATTTGTGGACTATGGACCTGCTCCTCGAGCCAGCAAACCTTATGGGTCATGGACCCCAGTTGTTAACCAGTAAGTTAACTCAAAACATGTCTATTATTATTTATTGACTTCGTCCGCATATAATAATTCCTCTGGCAGCATTCCAAGCAAGGTTAATTCCAATGCTGTGTAACAAATCTCATCAGAATCGGTTCAGTACCTAAGTTATATTTATAGTAATCATAATATATATTTATAGGATATAAATTTATTTTCGTGATTTCAAATAATAAACAAGCCCACAATGGTTTTACTAGTATGGTATTTGTTCCCGTGAGGTTTCAATGATAAATACTAATTCTGCTGGTCTCCAGGTTTAGCAAGACTAACGAACGGCAATTCATTTTTATTTCTATAGATAAATAAAGAGGTAACCTACCTCCTTAATTATTTCCATGCTTAACTCGTCGAGTACCGGTTTTGTAGACACAATTATAGAACAATAGGTTACGGTCACCGGTGACCGCTTGGTGTTTGACAGTTTAAACTGTCAAACATGGAGCGGTCACCGATGACTGCAACCTATTGTTCTATAATTGTGTCTATAATGACGGTACTCAACGAGTTAAAAATATAATGATGTCAATGAATTTTTATGTTTTCAGAGTGCTAGATAACTATAGAAAACTAAGTATGTCATAGAAAGAAAGGCACAATTAAATTCAAGAAAACAAAATCTGTTAATATATTTTTTTTATTTATAATTCTATTTGTTATTATTTTCTAGGCCTGTAGAACAAGTGGACCTTCAGCTTCCAAAGAATGAAAAAGTGCTGCCGCCGCCCCCAGTAGTGGTGCAACCTGAAATCATTCAGTTTAAAGAGAAACGCATTGAGTCTCTTGGAGATGAACCCGTAGAATTTAAAAAGAGAAAGTTCAACAATCCCAAAAGAAATATGCGTCAAAAACTAGATGATGACTGATACCATAATAAAATAAAATTTGTAAATAGGAAACATTGTTTTTTATTCTTTAGAAATTACTGTTTGTTAAAACCGGAATGTTTTGCAGTCATTTACTGCGTTGCAGTAGAGAAATTGAATTTTGGTGCATAACATAACATACATAACATCACGCCTTTTATCCCCGAAGACCCCTTCGGGGATAAAAGGCGTGCAGAGGTGTACATTACGGCACAATATAACACCCACTTTTTACTATTTATGTTATGAGGGCACGCGATTTTACTTGCCTACTCTATTCGACTTCCATAGACACTATGATAAAAATTAATTATGGAATTAAAATTTTTAAAACATCGATCAACACCAATTCACAAAGCTGTCAAAGATGAAGAAAAAAAAGACGAGTCGCTGATTTTAGTTACGCAACAATTCGAATAGATGGCGTCACACGTCTGTTACTCATATTAAAAAAATATTTGGAGAATTTAATATGAAGTTGAATCGGTGGCTGCAGGTTCTATTCCCGATGGTAAAACTTGTACAAATTGTTTTTGAAACATAGCATTTGATTATATTTAGTTGGTAGGTAAGTATTCAACTAAACTTTTTATCTATTATTTTTATTTATTTATTTATTAAACACGCCAACACCATAGAAAAACTTACCAACCTAAATTAGGTAGATACCTACATTGCAAATAAATGAATTTGAATTTGAAATTTTAACATCATGACTTCGTGATTCGTGGCTATCGAGGGACTGCCTTTTGACAGTTTCGATGTTTGTTATCATTATCAGCTGGAAATTGTCCTCCTGAATTGAGGGGCGGATCACGGATGTGATCCATCGTCAAGCTTCGCTTTGGGCTCGTAGTTAGGTCACCGAGAGCTTAGACTACCCTGCTCTCGGCGGTTGGTCTATCTAGGTATAACCTGGTTCTCTTTCAGGACATACCCGGGATCAAGTGTGTGTTATTTCCTAGACACTGAAAAACACATATCTACACCACATGTCTGTAGTTTAATTAATCTAGTCTTGCGTCGTTGAATTTTTGAGTAGGTTATTTATAATTAGGTATAGGTAGGTACTAGGTTTTTAAATTTCCACAAAAAGAGACAATATAGGTACTACAGACATTAGTAATCTGTATAGATACCTACATTCATGCCGAAAGCCGTACTAAGTATACGAAACAGTACCTACCTAGCTCTAATATTATGGAAAGTTGGCAGGTACCTAATTGTACAGGCAGGTTATTGTTCCTATGTAATTGTAGGTACTATCGTATTAACATCACGCCTTTTATTCTCCCAAGGGGAGAACGAGAGTGTATTTACCTACATATTAAAAATCGCAGTCGCACTTGCTCGACTCGGGCGGCGTTCAGTTTCATAAACCTAAACAAAAAAGCTAAAACATTTGTTGTTTGGTTGGAAATCATACTTTACCTACTTGCTTATTTTTACCAACTGACCTGTGTATTAACAAAAGGGTTTCCCCTTTCGGAAAATGTTTAAAAGTAAGAAAGTTGGGCGTCTTGGTAAGGTAGGTCTTCCATCTTTATGAAGAATGTTTAATTGTTCTCCTTTCTAAGGATTTAACCTAATGTTTATAAGTTAGTTATGTATTTTTTCATTATAATTTAGAATAGGTCATAACAATATTATGATGAGGTACCTACACAGGTACCTACTACATGACATTGACAATGTAGTACCTATGTATAACGATGTCCATGTCATAAGTCCATGTCGCTAATCGCGCCATGAAGTAGGCACTGATTGATTGACTTTGTACCTATATTAAAACTCATATTCTCCTCCTTCCCAAGGTTCAACCTTCCTAATGACCAAGGATTTCATCCCAAAAACCTTAAGTTAGCGCATCTACCTATATCAGATCACAACAAATCAAGTAAGGTGATTATAGTAGACAGATACTGTAATCAATACATAGTATAAAACAAAGTCGCTTTCGCTGTATGTCCGTATGTATGCTTAGATCTTTAAAACTACGCAACGGATTTTGATGCGGTTTTTTTTAATAGATAGAGTGATTCTTAAGGAAGGTTTGTATGTATAATACATGCATATTGCACCCGTGCGAAGCCGGGGCGGGTCACTAGTTAAGTTAATAATTAATATCTACAATATGTACCTACCTAATAGACTTGATGATTATTTATTTATTTCCATTTCTATATAGTAATATAATATACGATGGTGGACTTAGGTAATGCCGGGCGGCATTCTCTAACAGTCAACAATGGAGTTTAGTTATGTACCTATGAGTTAAATTGCCGCTCCCTAACAGGGTCACTCATGTATGTACGTATGCAGATATATTCTGCAATAAATAAATAAATAAAATATTGGTCTGAATAAAATAAATGGGCATAGAAGAACCTTTATTCTCTATAGGAATCTACACCATGGTATAAGCAAATAGCTTCACTTTAATTATTTTTTTTGTTGACATTCACAAGTGCCTTTATCTCGTATAATTGAAATAAATGATTTTGACTTTTGACTTTTAAATATATATATAGATACTAGGTACCTATATCTAATACACATCTAGTTATGTCAGGAATAATAAGCGAAGATTGTACTTTATTAGCTTTAAAATAAATTTCTAGCTACTTATACCAAGTTTATTGCAAGTATCATTTTCCTAGAAACCTAGAGAACTTGCACAGACAACACTGTAGCTAACTGCTGGTGCAAACAATTAAATTAATCGAGGACCGTTTGAGTTCTCAGTTCCATATAAAATATAACAATGCTTTGTCAGTTATCGGAACAAGCAAGTGTCTGGACCTAGGTAGGTACTGTCATGGCTACATTATTTATTTCAGAACGAGTTTTTTACAAAACTGTCCTCGTCTGTCCGTCAAAATGTCTTCCGTGGAATCATTAGTATGCATCCGACTGTGCATAGCTATTAATCGTGTTCTTATGCAAACTAACACAATTACATAAGCATAAAGTGAACTTGTTACCTATATAATGCCGTTAATTAACATAAACTATATAATAATATTTATTTATTAATTTACCAAGAACACGATTTTGCATAACGTAAGCACATAATAAGTTAACGTACCTACATAAAGTGTAGGTAGTACCTAATTTGGGCTCGCTGCCATCGCAGCGGTAAGACCCCTCTTTGAGGAGTGGCTTGAGAGACGCTACGGCGTCCTCACCTACCGCCTGACGCAGGTCCTCACCGGACATGGAAGTTTCGGGAGGTACCTGTGTCTGATGGGGCGGGAGGAAACGTCCGGGTGTCATCACTGCGAGGACCGCTCAGCCCACGCAGGGCATTCCGCGACAGTGTGCTCCACCGTGTCCTCAGGGAAGTGATCGGCGATGGCGACCTCTCGCGTCCGGGCCTAGTGCAGGCCATGATGCGGAGCGAGGGGGACTGGGATGCCGTCTCCTCCTTTTGCGAAGCAGTCATGCTAGCTAAGGAGGAGGCGGGACGCGTGAGACAGCGAAGCGCTGCCTCCTCGCAACCCAGCCATCGCGAGGGACACACCGGGCGTCGGGGATCGCGGGACGATCTCCGGCCACCGTAAGCGCGGGCCTGCGGACGGCGAGCATGGGTGGCTCCCCGTCCGACCAGAAACAGACCCGAGCGTACGGCGCGTCGCGTTCCGCGCGCGCCTCAAAGAGCCATCAGACCACCACAGATGGGGCCCAATAGGGCCGACGCCGATTCGGAGTCGCGGAGAACCTAACGGGTAACCGGGGCTCCGGCTCGACGTGCAGGAGAAGGAACGGGGTGGTTTTTAGTCAGTAAGAGTCTGACACTCCCTCCCGCCTCACCCAGGCGGGAGCAGTCATTCGATGATTTTCCCCCATTAAAAAAAAAAAGAAAAAAAGGTAGTACCTAATTAGGTATTTAGTTTTAATTATTGTTCTAAAACTAAAGTTTATAGACAGCCTTGTTACTTAAAATAAAAAGAAAAACACCTAGAATAAAGCCTTAAACGTTAAAGTCACCTCAATTAAAACTCATGGCGTATCGAATGTTATAAACGTACGCGCATTTTTTACAGCAATTAATCTGGCGTCGAATCTTCTACGTGTCTATTGTCACACTCTGATCCGGGTCCAATATGGAAATGAAGTACTATTAACTGTTAATGCGACATTGTGTATAACATTTTTTACACCCTATATGCAGTGTGTTGAGGACAGTTCGAGTCTCATTAGTTTTTCCGATCACGGATGGGACGTCGGCCCTCACACTTCGTATATAAGATGTAGCGCGGGAGAAGACGGTAGGATATTAGCCGTCATATCTGTAGACTACAGTCCTGTCTAGTGCAAACTAGATTTGGTTCAGTGTTGTGTCTCCGAAGACATTTTTTAAAAACTGTTCAACATGTTCAAATTGGTAAGTTTTATTTCTATTGTTCGTGTTCCACTAAATGTTTTGTTATTTTTATGGTAATATGATTAATTTTATTTTATTTTTATTTTTAAACACTTCATGCACACACTAATGTACAAGGTGGGCTTAATGCCTAGGGCATTCTCCTCCAGCCAGACCTTTGGGTGACGCAGAGACAAAAACTTTTATTGTTTTGCAGCCAATAATTTTGTGTTTTATAAATAATTCATTTATGAGAGTTACAAGTTTTAAGAATTATGTTTAGTTTCTGTCTTTAAACTATTACTTAGGTAAATTTTTTCAACCGCCAATTGCAAATGAATTGCTTAGGCAATTCCTAACTCCGACCTCATTAATCTTGCCATACTTATAGGTACATTACAAATATTTTCTATATAGGTAATTTATTAAGGTCTGTTTAGTCCTTTGATCAATATTATGGGGATTGGTAAAAAGGTATATTTTATAGAAGTTCCACATACTTATACTTTGGTAGACGAACACTGAAATGCTACGATATAGTACAGGAAGGAACTTAAATACATTTCTATGTAGCCTTCTTAGTTTAGTAAATATTTCTAACTTTTACAAGGTAATATTAACACGTATGTGTCTCTCTCTTTAAGTATTTTCCCACGTCCCCATGGGCCATGCCTCATAAGTGTAATTTTTTTTCACTCGTTATTTACACCTAATGTGATAGATCTTCTCTCATTTAGGTATTATGAAACTTGCCCTAGCAAAAAAAAAAATATCTAGGTGTGGGAAAGTTAATGCTTGCGCACGAATGGGTCGGCGTGATCAGCTAGAGTGATACCACAGCCTCACAAACTATCGATGTGAACGCTTGCTTTTTGCCGAGTGAATGAGGTTACCGGAGGCCTAATTCCTCCCTTCCCCAGTCTCTGCAATTCCCAAATTCCCAATTCTTAAATCCCTAACCGTCAAATGGCTGGCAACACACATATTAGCTCCACTGGTCCATGGGCGGCGCCGATTGCTTACCATCAGATGATCCATCTGCTCGTTAGCCCACCTATACCGATAAACAAAAACATTTTAATTACACCCGTCATACAATGTGTATTGCAATAATAATGAGTATAAATGAAATATTTATAACGGATATAGTTAAATATATAGACTTATTTAATTAAATGTTTTTGTTCCGCAGTTGATGCTGATCGCCTTCGCCATGGCGCTGATGGTGAGCCCTGCAGTGGCGAAACCTCAGGTGCTGGTGGACTACGGCTACTACCCAGGCTACGCGTACAGTTCCCCGGTTGCGTACTCTTACTACCCTTACGCGTACGCCTATAGCTACCCACTGGCGTACTATTAGGGCAAAATGAAACAAATACCCCACCAATATACATTGAAAACCAAGTCATATTTCTCTATTTTAAGGTTCTTTATACCTAATCAGTATTTTAATACAACGAAATTTTTGTTTAGTTTCAAAGTGTGATATGTTTTTTTTATGTTAATTTGAGATATTGTTGTCAATAAACGTATATCTATTTTGATGATTGTTTTTTTTAAGTAGCTATACCTACTTCATTATTATTATTACATTTTAATAATATTTTTTTTGTAAAGTGCGGCATTGAAAAGTTATCTACAAGGTAATTGCTAAGAAGTCATACAAATATTCCTCAAAATAAAAGTTTACCAATAAAGTTACTCAAATTAACGCCTATTTCCTTCTTATTAGTAGTGTAGTACACAGTATCTAGTAGTAGTAGATAAACCAAGTTAATTCGTAGCAGATACACGTGCATATACCATGCCATTATGCCGTTTATTGCCGAAGCCATAGTCTAAATTATGTGTTAAGTAGGTAGGTACTAATGAAAGTTTAGTTAACTAAGTACATACAAGTAATTAAGAAGTTAAAAAAATTGGAACAATTCTATTTAACGCCTTGGGAAAAGCCTTTGATGCAATAATATGGAAAAAGAACCCACGTGATACAATAGACATTAAACATAACAGTTAATAGGTAAGACATACACTATACATAGTATGTAGGTACTTGTGGCCCTACTTATATGGCGATGAGTTATGGTCTCAATAATAAATATTCTAAACTATGAATGAACAAGAATGTAGGTATATGTTTCGCATAATAATTAAATATGTAATGAATCATGGGACCTACTAGCTGTTTTATATTCCTTGGTAACTATGTGTATGTAAATCTGTACCTACCTACGTGAAGATATATTAATCACGTTGTGAGCTAGTCATTATTTTTAATACAGTGAGCTTCACGCTTACAAAAATGTATCTAAGTAGATAAGCCTTCTATATCTGCTAGGCTATTCTGCATTTCAATTCGAAAAGTCGAAGTGAACTCGATCGCAGTCTGAAAGTTCGAATTGAGAGTTACAGAGTAGACTAGCTGGTTTCCTTTTATGACGCTCATAGATATACCTATACATATAATTTTTAATAGTTAGAGCCGATTTTTTTTCAACTCCAGATACATTTTAACTGAGGAATAATTTTGAATATTTGAGTATTCTTCTATACTAATAAATGTCAATTTTATTCTACAGTTAAGAGTTAACTGATGATTGAAAAATTGGCCTTTACTAAAATGAATTTCAGTAGGTGGTAAGTACCTACTATAAATATGTTATTGGTTTTGGAAAATCTATGACCAAAGCCTTATAACTTAAATTGGCAGAATATGATAATGTAAACACTAAGAAGCTAAAAATAAAACAGTGCATTCTATTATAGGTTTTACGACTAGTATTTTTGGCTCATTATGAATTGACGAAAAAGGGATTCCTAAATCTTACTTAGATATAACATAAAGTGTACTTAGGTTCTTTACTTATAATTCGTTAATAAATAATGACATTACTACAAAGACAAAAGGAATCAATGTGGGTTTTGAATACAAAATACTTAATTGAAAATAAACATGGAAGTTTGAACTTTGAACTAATCCAGTCGATATGGGCCGAAGACCGCTCCGCTTGCCCTCGTGAATTATTAACCAAGTTACTTCTAACTTAGAAGTAAGCAGGTAGTTGTACCCACTTACAGAAGAGGGTGAACATTGGTACTATTTTTCTATCTTACTTCCTTACCTATTACTAGATACTTACTATTTTTTGAGAGTGGAAAGTTATCGAATGACTTCTCGACTTCTGGGGGGAGGCGAGAGGGAGTGCCAGACTCTTACTGATAAAAAACCACCCCGTTCTTACTCCTGCGCTTCGAGCCGGAGCCCCGGAAATCCGTTACGTCCTCCGCAGCTCACCTACTACTGTAGCAGAGTTTCCTTCTCGTGTGGCCTTCACCATATGATGACGATACAGGATATTGTAAACAAATTTATCACATACCTAATAGTTAACGAGTGATGCTATATAGAAAATGCCTTATTCTACTCCTTAGGGATCCTCACATTAGGTGTAAGTCATGTGTTATATCACGAAGAAAATGCTTGCTGGTGAAAAAGGGTTGCTATTCTGATGTTCCTTCGAATTTTATATGGGTGTTACCTAATGTGCAAAATAAGATCAAATCCCCGACCACACATGTGCTGCGTACATATCTAATGTATTATGTATGGTATTTTAGGTATTAATCGGGATGACATAGTCAGTGACACAATAATGGTGGCATTACAAGGCCACACTTACATCAGTTCTCAGCCTGATTAGTATTCAGGTGCAACACCCCATCCTTTGACAACACAATGCTAACTAATCCACCTTTGGGAGCTCAAATAATATTATTTTCATTTGTCATCTGTTAAGGAAAATGCGTGTGTTATCAATTAAAATGTATTGTAATCAGTGAAATGTAAAGGCTATTTAGGTAGTATATATGTACCTATACCTACTTAAAATGAGAAAGATGGTAAGGAACTACTGTCTGTTCACAAATTACAAGCATGATCAATTTCTCCATTTGCATCTCATGATAAAACTTATTTTTTTTTTTCATTCGTTAATTAGTACGTTATTATGTTTATTATGTAGGTAATCTCTTCCTAGATTTTACCTAACGATACCTCCTAGATATGTGAGTAAACTTTTATATTCTGAAATATGTAAATGATAAAAAAACGCCATGTGCGATTAGGTATATTATGTAATTACGGATTCCATTACTTTCATCTAGATAAACCATATATTAATTAGGTACTATTGCAGTAAACCGCAGCAGCAATCACGAAGCAAAATGTTAACATATGACAACACATAGGTATCTATTTATGTTCTCATCCAATTTCCAAATAATATTATTAAATATATACATACAATAAATCATCATATTAGAAGATGGACATCTAAAAGCCACCCGGTAGATATATAAAAGCAAATCCTTGTCCGACGTTTCTCGAAATGACGGTTATATACGATTTGAAAATGATTCTAAATGTGCCTAGTTCACATTATTAGAATACATAAGTAGGTAACACGCTAGATTTTTTTAGTTAATCTATAAATAAGTACTGTATCGATAGTGGCGAGTTGGCGACCAACTCTGTTTAACAATTATCTGCTTATAATTCAGTTATATTTTGAACTTTATACAAATAACGATTAGATATGTTATGTATTAAACGCCGCACTGTATTTTTTAATGTGTATCATTTACTTCATCCTCCCAAAAGGTTTAAAAATTTTCTTTATATCTAAATGAAATTCTGGACTTTATTCTAATAATGCGAGCTAGGTCCAGGCAATCTTAATATTAATTACACAGGACATTTATGGCGTACTTTTATTAGTTCGATTTATTAAGAGTAGTTATACACTTGGCTATATACTTAGTACATTTATCTAGTTATTTCTTGAATTTTTAAAAAGCGGAAATCTTCATCTCTGCTTTCAAGATTTTAGATATTCTAATTGGGACCTATTCTATTGCCAAAGAAGTACTTACAATGGAATTGTAAATAAGAATATCTACGTATAATAATATTTATATGCACATTTGCCTACATTTAGTTATAAGGAGAAATGTTTCTAAAGTAAAATAAAAGTTCCGTTGAAGAAAATATCAATAAGCGCTGATACTATCTACACTACATACATACATAATATATATTATGCCTCTAACATTATACATTATATTATTATTACACGATAATTTATGAACTCGCTATCCTACGCGTAGGAAAGTAAGTTGAGTAAAGTATAATTCACATTTTAGATATCTACCAGTCAGAGTTACTAGTTTCACAACACCATAGTTCACTTTATATAGTCCTCGCGCAAAGTTTATAAGTAACGATAGCACTTGAGATGGCACCTTTAAACACTTGTCTTGTGAACAGTACTTAATAGTTCATGAGTCTGTTTGATACGCCATTCCAATAATTTGGGTGATTGGAAGCTTTAGTGTTTAGGCGACTTCTAGGTCGGAGTCGCTGTCGTCAGTATAGGGGCGTGGCGTGGGAGGCGCTGGCGGCGCGTGCGCTGGTGAGTGTGCCGGTGACAGCGGTGGCCGCGCCATCAGTGGCGTCCGACCACAAGCTCGCTCCTCTTGCAGCTTACGAAGCCGTTCCTGCTCCTCACGTTTCTGCTTGCGCCATTTCGCACGACGATTCTTGAACCAGACCTGTGGAAGTAACAACAGTTTAGAGATATCATAAAAAGGAAGAACTCCTGGTGGCTTACTCTTGAATCCAATTCCAATCGATCGACATTGGTATTGCGAAATTTCGTACTTTTGAGTTGCAACACTAGCGCCCATTGCATCCGTATTGCGTGGATATTGAATGAACTAAATGGTATTGACTATTTGGCTTTATAGCCCGTAGGTACTCTAAATGCTATATTAACAGCTACGATTGTGGTTTTATCGTTTTGACATTGAATAATTATTGAGATTTTATTGGATTGAAATTGCTTTGACATTGAGATTGCTTTCAAGAGTAAACACCCTGATATTTTAATTTTTAAAATGTGAAGTGGACAGTTGCCCTAGCACTGTGTACTTTACCCATTTATAAATAATATAGGTACCTACGCGATGTGATTTTGTTGACGATTATTATAAGTATTTTAAATACATTGAAACCTTCTTTAAAAGACAAAAAGCATTTTCGATTTGGTGATATTATTTAAATCTGTTTCTATACATATAAGCAAAAAAAAACCAAACAATACATTTTTGTGAGGATCACAAGTAACAAAGATGTAAACATACGGTGTGATATCATAACTAAAAGATTTCTTCTTAAATATTCAATCACACAGTACAGTAGCTAATACGGGCCGTACGGGTCTGTTGTAAGCGATCAATCAATCGTTAAACACGCATGTTATCTACGGACAATTGAGACGACCCAATTCTGTAGCAAACATTGACCGAGCTACTGAACTACATAAAAGCAAAAAAACCTCAAAGGTAGTATTGTTGTTGAGGTATCATTGATATTTCCCGGTAGAGAGGGGCTGTGCGGCCGTGCTTCCACTCGAGTGGGCAGGCACAAGTGTGAGATGTTCTCAGACTGCGGGTGGTCGCCGCGTCTCTGCCGACACTGCGCAGTGTCCGGCCGCCGAGCCATTGTAGCACCTCGCCGTCAAAACACTGCACAGCCCTTCTTTCCAACCTCATAAATACTTTCAAATTTATTTATGCTTAATCCCTCACGGTTTTCATAAATTTGACGTGCATTCATATTGCATGTGAATGTAAAATTGTAAACATGTTGAAGCCTTATACGGATGAGAAAATTAGCATGTTCGACCGTAGTAAAACATTCGTCATACCCAATTCAAAGACTTCATCATAGATTAGGTACTAATAATGAATATAAATTGCAAAGGTAGCAAATAGCAGTTACATTATAAGATTTAAAATAATCTGTAGAAAAGATCTTCATATGAGTGAATAATATACGTATATATACCCATTCTACACACAAAATGACTGGTCAAAAAAATGTGAGTAAGGAAATAAAACAATCAGTTGCTGAAGTGAAATATCTAGTCCTTTGATTCAAAAATTTACAGTTTTCTTTTCATGATAAAAAATTTAACTATACGATAGAAAACCAACCATTCAACCTCTCAATTTCAAATTACGGCTCAGACATTATACCATACAAAATCTACATTTAAAAAGGGGCATCCCGGGTTTATTCAGTAGGAACGTTTAAAATTAATTCGTTAACGATAGCACCATTGTCGGAGTTAATTGCATTACAAGAGTCGGTCGGCGACCGACAAAGGTCCCATTAACTTTCGATGAAAGAGTGACGGGGTTTTCACGTAGTGTGTCCGCCCGCGCCCCTCCGCTTATTGGGCGCCACTCGAGCGGCAAATATGGCCGCTGCCACTGCCACGGCCAGACTCCGGGGCTCCGGCGACTCCTTACACCCGCTCGCTGTTCGCACCCGATTCCTTTGTCATTCCTCACCCACAATAAGATTAGCTCGATGTTCTTTTGTGTACTTGATTGTGTTTGGTTTAACTCGTTTGCTGTTTTTATTGAAGCCGATGACTTCGTTTTCTGCAATAAAAGCACCCCTATTTCCTGCGTATCGTAATGTGTTAAGTACTTATCCGTTGCAGAGATATTCAAACTAATTGGATTCAATATTATTAGACGTTAATTTCATTTGGTGTGATAGCTTGGGGTTGCAAGACGATAGAAGCTATCAAGCATACCAAATGCCATCTGTTAGAGACGGACCTCTAGGAAAGTCATAGATAGGGTATGGGGTAAGTTAAAGTAATGATGATTAAGACATTAGGTATACGATATTATTATACAAACATGCCATAAAATTTTAAGTGTTAGATAACGACAGATTCCAAAACGAATTATACCGAATCTACGTAGTAGAACTAACTAATCAATTCTAAGAACTAAGTAACCAACAAACCTATACTATACCTATGCAATACTAGATTAAAATAGATTAACTTTATTAACCAACGTGGAAACTCTGAAGCTAATAGGGGCATGGCTTATATTGGAAGTTTCATATTCCCCATTGTTTTAATTCCATTGAGAGCGTGGAGAATTCCCAAATTCTATTGTGCGGTACCGCTGCAGCGTGCTCGCATCATGCATGCATAATTTCAATGCGGTAATGTTCATTCTGCTGAAGACAAACAATATATTGAAGAGCTAAACTACGAGGATATAACTCCCACCTAACAATAACTAGCTGAAGCTGTTCTATGTTTACATTGTTTCGTTTTGTGTCTTAAAATATTAGTGCCGTCTAATATTCGTTATTCTAAATTTATAACCCTATTTTTACCACTAACTCTTCTAACTATCAAATAATTCAATTATTTTCTTTAACTTACATTTTAATGTTTCAGCGTGAACAGTGAACATCTTAGGTACCTACTATAAATCCATTTTTTACTTTTTTTGCTACCAATTTTTCTGCCGTGATAAACAATTTGAAAAATAAAAGTTTTTTTATTAAACAGTGGTTGAAATTAGGTTAAGTGAAACGATTTACCGATCTTAAGTTTGCATGATATCTAATAAAGAGTATTGTGTAAAGAATATGAATGAAGACGTCGTTTATTTAATAGAATAAATAGCAATCTAGATTAAAACAAACGTTGTATACGGATAGTTAAGTAAGTAAGCAGCAGTTGATGACGAGGGATGTAGGATGTGTCGTGTGGGAAGACAAACAGATGAGACGGCAGGCGGGGCCGTGTGCCGGCGGCAATGTGCACCACGCCTCGACGCCTGCCCGCCCCAGACCCCAAACACTAGCTACTTAGCGGGACACTAACTTAACCTCATCGTAATTTGATGTAATAATGTACATACATAACTTTATTTTGTTTCTTCAATATCGTTTCACCACGGTGCAGTGTATTTTGTTTATTACCTGATTGGCAACCAGGAGGCCAGGAGCAGTCGCATTGTCACTTAATAACCTCGCAGTTAATAAATTAATTGATTGATTGAAATGTCTTACTAATCTTACTAATACTATAAATGCGAAAGCTTGCGTTGAATCACGTGGAAACTAATAGAACTGAACCAAAGCGAAAGGTGGATTAAATAAAACATACTTAGGTATGATAAAGAGCACGAATACCTATAATAAGTTTTATCTTGCTGAAAGCAGAAAATATTTACAGAAGGCGAAATTATTTTACCCAGATGAAGGTTCGGACAACAGCTAAATAATAAATATTATAAATAATATATTAATAATAAAATGTAACAAAGGTACGACCAAATAATTTAATAAAAATACAGCAGTTAATTATACCTCCTAGCCAAGCTTTAACAAATTAAGTATTAAAATAAAAAAAACATTCTTAGTTTTATTTTAACCAAATCTTACGTATAAAAATCGTAAAGTAGATTAATTTATTATCTAAATAAACACCGCGAGATAGTTACAATAAAACAAACTTTAACAAAAGATGAAACGATTACATAAATCCAGGAATTGGGCATGTACTTATATTATTATAAATATAATGAATAGGATATAGGATTTCAATATTATGTGAAAAGTTTATTCGACGAGATATAAGTAAGTACTTCTTTCTACTTTATTCAATTCGTCATGTTACGATTATTTGTAGTAAAATGGTGAGAAGTCACACAAGATGGTAAAATGGTGGAAGTTATTTTTTTCTATAATTAATAATAGTATGTATCACTATTTTATTCTCTAGAGTCAGGCGACATTATCATGCGGTGTAAACCCGCTGATGACCAAAAGCGTATCAATTAGATGTTCTATTTAGGATATCAGAATTTAATCTGAGGATCGTAACTCATGGTCGTAATTTTACGGGGACAATCGACTCCCAAGTGTAGCAGCACCTCATAAGTTACCCAGCTTTCTATTGCATGGTGTAAAAAGTAATAAAAAATCATGCATGTCAGGTAATTTACTTGATGTCCAATGATTTTTTTTATATAAGCATGAACATGGCGAACAGTTTCTTTTGATTTTCCCTTCGATACTAAAGCAATTATTTACATAGCAAAGCTCATCTCACTATCTGTTGCAAGTCTTCACGAGGAACACTTTACCGACTTCACTCAATAGAAACATTTAATCGGAATCAGTTAGGGGACAGAGTGATTGAAAGCACGAATGGCACGAATCCACGAACATTTCGTTTGTGTTTAATTTACTTATGTTACCTACTTGTGTATTTTATTTGATTTGGTCCTGCGAATTAACTGTCTAGTCCAAAGTTTTTAACCATTAGGTTGGATATTTTTTATGGATATTTGTATTTCGTCCAGAACTGCCAAAAATTACAGATGTAAGCAATTTTTTGTTGGACGCCATTTCTTGATACATTCCACACAAAAAAAAAATAAGAATCTAGAAAACTGTAACTGATGTTTAATTTTATAAATAGGTACGTTATATTTTCGCATATAGGGATGTTTTGGTAGATGTAGGTTTGCGACGGCAAACCGCGGAAGCTCCGCAGTCGTGTGAACCACACGGATGGGCTCGTAGCCGACGCCGTAGCAGGAGAGCAGCCGCAGCGGACGCGGTGCGAGGCGGGAGCGGGGCGAGCGCGGCGCGGCGGCGGCGAACCGAACCCAAACTTATTGTAATAATGTTGTTAGAACAAACACCGCGCTCCCTCCGC